TGAAGTCAGTGCTACAGGCTGATAGTCATTGTAACTGGTTGGGTGGGGCTTCTTTGGAATTGGAATTATTGTGGCGGCCTTGAAACATGTGGGAACAACCGCTTAGCTCAGGGAGATGTTAGATGTCTGTGAGGATATTCTTGAGCTCCTCGGCACAGCCCTTTAAAAAAGTAATGTTAGAATGCAGCTGCTGCCGAGGTCAGCACACTGTATATAGAATGAATATATGTGGACTGCTCTACAAGTAGATAAAGTTTACAGAAGTGTTCAGACCCTTTGTTATGACACTTGCAACTGAGCTCTGGTGCATCTGACTCCTGTGATTAACCAAGCTGTAGAAGCATATCAAAGTCCACCTAATTTAATGCACTGGATATAATGAGGAAAGGCACACATCTATTTGTATAAGGTTTCCCAGTTTATGGTGGATGTCAGAGTGAAAACAAAGCCGTGACGTCAAGACAACTCTCCACACACCTGTGAGACAGGATTATGTCAAGATCCAGATCTGGGGAAGGATACAGGAACATTTCTGCAGTACTAAAAGTGCCCAAGGTCAGGTGGCCTCCATCAATCTGAAATGGAAGAGATATGGAAGCTCCAACAGTCTTCATATATCTGTTCACCCAGCCAAACTGAATAGTCGGGGACGAAGCACCTTGGTCAGACAGGTAACCAAGAACCCAAGGGTCACTATGAATGAGACCCAGAGTTCCTTTCTGGAGATGCGAGAACCTTACAGAAGGACAACGATCAGTGCAGCCCTGTACTAATCAGCCCTCTATGGTAGAGCGCCCAGACGGAGGCCATTCCTCACTAAAAGGCAAACAACAGCCTGCTGGGAGTTTGCCAAAAGGCACCCGAAGGATTCTCAGGCCATGAGAAGCAAAATCCTCTGGTCTGATGAAACGACTGAACTATTTGGACACAATTCCCAACAGCGTGTGTGGAGAAAACCAGGCACTGAGCATCACCCCACTAATACCATCCCTACAGTCAAACACAGTGGTGGCAGCAGCATGTTGTGGGGACCTGAATCCAACAGATCATCTCTGGAGAGACCTGAAAACAGCTGAGCACCAATGCTCCCCATCCATCCCAGTTGACCATGAATGATTCTGCCAAGAAGAATGGAAGATGTTTCCAAAAAAAGGTGCTGAGTTTGTAGCTTCATTCTCAAGAAGACTTGAGGCTGTTGTTCCTACCAAAGATGCTTTAACCAAGTACTAAGTCGGCGTCTGAACACTTATGTAAACGGGATATTTTAGTCTTTTTAAAAATAAATTTACAGAACACTCCCAAACATGTGTTCACTTTATCATTGTGGAGTATTGTGTATAGACTGATGAGGGAAAAAATGAATCCATTTTAAGAAGAGTCTGAAACATAACAATGTCGAAAACCTTCCACACTGACTATATGTGCTAGTAACAAATGTGGCACATTCACAGTGAATTTAGAAGAAGTGACGTGTTGGACCTGCTGAATTGTCTGATAAAGGGAATTTTCCCACCCCGCTGTTGCCAAGTGCTTGCTCAAGGGGGATTTGCTGGGTTTTTCTCTGTTATACAGTAAAGTCTAGACCTTGCTATGTAAAGTACCCTGAGATGATTTCTGTTGTAATTTGGTGCTATACAAATAAAATTGAATTGATTTGAATTTGAAAACAGAGCTTTTAAAACACTCAGCACTCTAACACAAAAGCTTCCTTTGCCACTGCTACATATTGTGTCTCTATTGACACATTTATACATTTATTTATTTTCATTTGCCTTGCACTGATGAGATTGTCCCATGTTGACATTTTGAGCAGCAAAGAAAATTTTCAGGCCCCTCTGGCAAACCTTTTCTAATTGCTGCAATTTAGAGATATTAAAGTTATCACATCAGGCTTGTTTGGAAGTGACTAATGACCGTTTTAGAGTGAAATGTCACCTCTAATTACTGGCTCTCACTCCAGCTAAGCCTGATTCTCTGTCCTTGCCACACACTTGTGAATTCTATTTGCAATGGCTCAGAGATTGTTTCGAACAAACATTGCCCTGTGTGGTGTTCTCATGTTGTTTAATGACTTTGGAGGGCTCTCTTCCAGCAGGGGGCAGTGACCTCTCAGGCCATTCGCTCACATCTAACCACATTATATTCAAATTCTTATGCCTTATGTTGGTTTACTCTTTACTTGCTCCTTGCATGGGTATATGTACATGCATATTGAGAGCCACTGTACCAGAGTCAAATTCGTCGTGTGTCCGACACACCTGGCCAATAAAGCTGATTCTGATTCTGATTCAGAAACAGCAGTTCATTGTACATTTATCAAATGTATGTCCTATGTTCCTATTACTGTTACTAGAATACTTCAGATTTAACATTTACTTGGTATGTGGCAGTTGCTTTATGACATTTAATTTACTATTTACTAAACCAACAATACCCTAAGGGAACACTTATCCTAAACTTCACTGACTTTAAAAATTAACGGCTGGAAAACCCCCCCCCCCCCACAAAATAAAAAA